GTCTTTAGGTAACTTTGACTTGATTTAAAAATGTACAATGTCATGTTTTCGAGCTTAACCCCCCCAATGTTAGACTTAAAGTTACGCCCTTCCTCTAATGAACGAAATCTCCTTAAAAGGTGCAAAATGCAAAAGCTGAAAGATTGTGCGAATTAATGAAGAAATTTGGTAACCCCTTGAATTGTGTGTTTTTATTATTGTGTGAATGCCTGTATGGCATTCACACAATTGAGATCTTTTTTTTTTCCGTACGTTTTTCGGCACCTTTCTTGTTCCACAATTTTTGTGCTACTTCAACCATTCATATATCAAAACGTTCAGCTCTTTCGTGCAGTGCCTGCTATGACTTTTGGTATTTCAGCTATTTGTAGCTTTTTAGCTATTTCAACTTTTTTAGCCACTTTTTTCCCCATTGACTTTGAATGGGGCTATTTTCAACAACCTTCAAATCCTTCAGTTTCTAAATCTTTACAAAGCCTTACACAATTCATTCTGGTTGTGCTCTTTTTTACTCCCTTGTGCAATTTTTAGCAACTTTTTTTTTTACTAACTTTGGCTGTTTTCTGCTAGTTCTTCTTCTGCTTTATTTGTGCTTTTTTTCTGCTAATTTGAACTATTTATGCTTCTTACAGTTGCTTTCTACTTTATTCAGTTAGTTTCTACAAAATGGGCTACATTTTAGCTGTTAATAGCTAAAATTAGCTTTTTAGGCTTTATACACATTTTGTTTGTAGCAATTAGAACTTAATTCTGCTAAATTCAGCAAGGTTGTATATGCATTCTTATGCTAAATAAAATATTTCCAGCTTTTGGCTTCTACTTTTAGTTAGCTTTTATGCTAATTTTAGCTGTTTTCTGCTATTTTATCTGTAGTTCTATTTTCTACTATTCCTATGCTTTTTTTTTCTTTTTGTTGTTTTTTCCTGGTACTTTGTGTTATGCATGTTTCTTACAGGTGCTTTCTGCTTATTTAAGCCATTTTAGCATTTAGCTTTTTTATGCTATTTCAGCTATATTTTTGCTCCTTTTTTACTGTTTTTCCTTTTGCTTCTTTCAGCTTTTAAAGTTTGACTTCGAACAATACTTTTGCTATTAAACATTCTCAATTTCAGCAGCTTTCAGCAACAGGCATTCACACTAGCATTTTTGCAGGAAATGCAATTTTTTCTAGTTATTTTTAGTTCAACTTTTGTTTATTAGGCTTGTTAAAAAGAAAGAAATAATGTTCTTGTTCAATAATATAGTAGGAGTTGTGCTCTAAATGTAAATGTGAATGGCTGATTTTTGTACAAGAGAATGTCATTGTTTTTTGTTGGTTTTTTTGTGTAAATGTTTGAATTGGTTCAATAATTTTAAAAAAAGTTTCTGAATCAGGGGAGGGATGCACCGCAGTATCACGTGATTCGCTATGCAGCATGCTACATATGCTAACTTCAAGCTTAGCTTAAAAGAATTACGACTTTTACTAGTTCACATAAATATATTGATTTGCTACATGACAAAAATGCTTCTAAAAAGTAAAATTACCTTCTGCTGACTTTGCGAAGTTTCCATTGTGAATCAGTCCGCAAAATATTTTCTATACTGTCAGTGAAAATGTTTTCACCGCCGATTCGCTACTTGTAAGTGATCATTGACATGGCGCCCCCTTCACTTCCGGAGTGCAATGGTGCTACTTCCATATATGGTAAGACTCGGGCATCGGCATGACTCCGCCCCTTACCTCACGCTGCAGCGCAGGTTTGGCTCAGAGTCGTTAGCATCGGCTGATTGATGGTTGAGTTGAATTATGGTCCTCATCGGTTCAGTGACACCCTTACCCGTGACAGCACAATCATTCGTGGCGCTGATAGGAGTAAAAACTGTCGATTTCAGCCAAAAGGCGCCGACTTTACAGACGCGTTTTGGCGTTAGCGATGCCAACTCTGCTAAATGTTAGCAAACACCGGAGCAAATGTTAGCAAACACCGGAGCAGCCCCTCCAGAGGTGGCCCAGAAACCCCGTTTCTCCTAAAGGAAGAGGCAGAGCTTGCGACGTAACGTTGCGCAGCCGCCATCTTCTAACTCCCTGGTATAAAGAAACCCATCTGATAGTCATCGGCCTTTAAAATTTCCCTTTATTTGGATTTTAAATATCACGGCGGATCAGCATCGTGCACTCAGATTTAATCTCGCATGGTAAGTAACCGGAAAACAACAACCTTTGAGTGTTTTTGGTGCACGTTCATGTTCCTGCCGGCTAACACAGGATGCTGGCTAACCCGGCATTGAAGGGACAAAAAACCGTTTCTCTCTCATTGACGCGCATTCAGATTGTGCTCCAGATAACAGCTGCGTTTAGGTGTAAATACGGAGTATTTACGTAGTTATAATGTCAGGAAGTGTGCGGAGGCCTGCACGAGCCGGCGGCTGCTGCCACGCGCTCAGGTGTGCTGGATGTGAGCTAACCTGTGGGCTTTTACCTGCTGAAACCGTTAGCTTACAGAACCTGGAGCTGCAGCGCCGGAGGCTCACGTGGACTGAGGGTTCGTTGTTGGGTTCGGGTTCTGGTTCAGATTAGCTCTGTGCAACTGTGTTCTCCGAACCGAGCCGAGATGGCGCCAAACACACGGTACCAATAAGCAGCTGCTTCATTCATTCATCAGGTAGAACCAGAACACCTCAACCGGTTCTAACGGAGAACAGAAACTGTTTGGACCGGATAAATGGGTTTTATATTTATTACCTCATGTTAGTCCTGCAATATAAACAAACTGTGGGTTCAGTAATTATATTTTCCACTTTCAATCTGATCAAACTATCCAAAAGCTACAAAAATACTGCAAACAAAGTAAAGAATGAAGAGTTTAGCTTTAGCTCATATTCCTGAAAGCAGACAGGAAACACAGACAGGARTCCATGCAACCTTCAGGTGAAAATGAAGACCCCAAACCCAGACCCAAACCAGTGGTTATTCCGTATGTTGCGGGTGTTTCAGAG